GCTGAACCGAAATGCAAAAGAAAGTTAACTGTTAGGAACTACCAAAGCTCCACTTTCACTATACATGGAATCGGTACTAGCGTTGAAACTCACTTTTAACTTGATATTCTTTCACAAAGAAATCTACACATAAGGAAAATGAGTCTTCTGCCGCAAGCTGGCGCGATCTTACCAGCTATGGAATCTCAGAAGTCGTTCAGAACAGGAGCAACACAGGCTCCACCTAAACTGAGGGAAGATACTGAAGTTAAGAATCTGTAAGCCATTTAAAGGCATTTGGTGTCAGTATCTTAAAAGATTAAGATGCTTTAAAACAAAACCCTTATAAGAGTATCAAAGATTTAGGGAATTCTCATAAATAACCAAATGTCTATGGCTTTCAACTGTCACCCTACTGCTGAGGTAGGTGACCAGGATTCATCAAAAGAGACAATCCTTTGGAAATTCCCTAAGAAAAATCTTGCATAATCAGTTGGTTTCTTAAACCTGTGTCCAGTTTCTTTTGATGGTTTTTGTTTTGTTTTTTCCTTTCTTTAATTTACACTTTTTAAAAGAGGTTGTCTGAGCAACTGTCCCTCCCCTCAAGCTCTGGCGGAGTAGCATCTCATATACTCCGTCATCCACGGGTTCTCCGACGAGGCAGGCTTGACCCGCCTGTTTTTGTCCACGTCGGCGGAGTGAGCCCGCTGCCTCTGAGCCGCCAGCCGCCTCTTCTCCACCTGCCTTCTGCTCTTGGCTCGCAACGCCGATTCATGAATCTAAGGGAGTCAGAATAAACGTACACTCACTCAGGTGGCTTTGGCGCTAATTTTCCAGAACATTTACAATGAAGCTTCCCCCACGTCACCTGGAGCAGGGCAGAGGCAAGCCAGACTCACCATATTCAGGGCTTCTGTGTATAAAGGCTTCTCCAGAAGAGCCACTGCCCTGGATTCTGTCTTACCCATCGTCAGCAATAAAGAAACTAGGCAACAGAAAATGTCCACTGGACTAAATTTCAGGTATAAATGGTAAGAAACTAATCTGCAGGTGCCTCGAGAAACTGGCTCTGGAATATTACTGGAACTCCTTAGCATTAAGCATGGATCAGTATTCCACTGAAGGAATTTAAATGTTTTACAGGGACTTCCCTGGTGGCGCAGTGGTTAGGAACCCGCCTGCCAATGCAGGGGACACGGGTTCGAGCCCTGGTCCGGGAAGATCCCACATGCTGCGGAGCAACGAAGCCCATGAGCCACAACTACTGAGCCTGCGCTCTAGAGCCCGTGAGCCACAGCTACTGAGCCCATGCACCGCAACTACTGATGCCCGCGTGCCTAGAGCCCGTGCTCCGCAACAAGAGAAGCCACCGCAATGAGAAGCCCGCGCACCGCAATGAAGGGTAGCCCCCACTCGCCGCAACTGGAGAAAGCCTGCGCACAGCAGCGAAGACCCAACGCAGCCAAAAAATAAATACTTAAAAAATAAATAACGTCTTACAGCAAAATACTAACAAATCTCAAAGAATTTTACCAGCTACGATGTTTAATGAACCCTGTTCAACTTAATCCCACCGGGTTGCCAGAGGACAGCTCTGTTGTCTCAAATATCACTCTAAACAGCACCATCTGCTAGGGCTCAGAAGTCTGTTCGGTGAACACTGGATCCTGGTATTTAACCAGAATTCAAACGGCCTGAACTTTCTGCTTCTTTTCATTCCCTCTTTCATTTGGGCTGGAGTGACGGTGTTAGTGCTAACACAGTCATTGCTTTGTGGCTCCACACGTGAGACCCCCTCGTCTGCCGTGTCCTCAGGCCTTCGCACAGGGACACTCCAGGGCTGAGTCCGAGGAGAACCAGACCTCCGGGGGATGGATGAGCAGGGGAAACGCAATCACTCTAATTTAATCCAAAGAGAAAACGAGAGTCTAGAGAGATGTCGAGAATGCAGGAGATGTGATCTAACAGACAGACAGTAACAAAGGGGTCAAGGGAATGGATACCAGTTATCAAGGCTGATGGACCAGGGGCCTCTCAGGAGGCCAGAGGCAAATCTAGACGGGCAGCCGCCAGCCCTGCCCATGCCCCTCGGCTGCACCTCCTGGCCCCCCAAGAACTTGAGAACCCCGAGTCCTGGCACTTCTCCACCTGGCTCGGTGTCGGTAAACCCTTCCAGGTACCAGCAAAACCCCCTGACCTCCAGGCAGCTAACATCCTGCATCCTGTTTGCAAATCAGATGCCCAGTTCTAGGCTTTCCTTGGGCCACCTAAGACCTACCATGTCCCAAAGCATCACAGTGACCACAGGGTATGACAGCCAATGACAGAAGCGAGGCCATCCCCCATCCTGCAGGGGGAAAGCAGAGAAGCCCGTTCGCTGGCACCCACCTCATGCACTGGGGCAGAAGCACAGACGTTGTGAGTTTTCTGGCTTCCTGTATCCGTCTGTTTTTCTCCCCACCCATAAAGGGCAAACGGGTGCTTATGGTCTTTTATTTTAGTTGAAGACCTTTGAGGACTCCTGACCGCTCTCCTACTCCCTCTGGCAGGTAAGGCACTTGGTGGTGGCTGAGGTTCCGTACTGCTGGGCGATTTGCCAGGCTCTCTGGTCCTGATCTGTCCTTCAGGTTTTTCTTTTATGTCTTTCACTGGCAGTGCTTTTTGGAAAAGGAGATAAAACACGATGAATGCTTTAAATTCCGGTTTACATATAATTACATATGATTTAAATATTTGGGATGAAAAGTTCATAATGCTTAATGAAGTCAGTAACTTTTTCACTTATCGCTCAATTCGCAAGTTTCACTTAAAACGGAAGGACAGAAACACACTAGTATAATAATTTTCAGTCTATCCCATTTTAACAACAACAATAAATACACCAAGATTGAACCAAGCCTATTCAAAAGTAACAACTATCACTCGCATTCTGAGATTAAGCATTTTAATTAAATACTAAAAGCTAGAAAGCAACTCGGCCTAATGGCTTTCCCCAGGATAAGTCCAATCATCTTATCGTCTTGCTTCAGGGGCAGATCTGGACCTGTGACAATCATTCAACAGCTGCAAAAGGTTCATCTTCAAATTACTCAACTGGAGTTCCAGGACTGCATTTCTCTGTGATGCTCCATGATTATGGAAAACACTCCTCTCAGCTCTCCTGTGCTCCTTGTAAGAGCTGGCCAGTGACCTTAGCTTCAAAAGCCCTCCACCACAATAGGAGGGTTTCCATAGCTACTCTTTCTCTCTCTCTCTCTCTCTCTCTCTCTCACACACACACACACACACACACACACACACACACACAGCTGGGCGCCCCCAGTGTGAGCAGCTGGGAAGGGGGCTCTTGTTCTTGACGTGAACCAGGGCCCCTGGTCTACACAGTCCTAAATCTCTCAGTGGGGCTGGGGAAACTCCAGTGGGGAATAGACTGCCCGCCTGAGGTGAACTCAGATACTAAGAACACAGTCCAAAACGTAACTATTTCCCTTAATTACCCTTTGTGACTTTCCATTCATTATTTTTATAAGCACTTTATGATCTTGTAAAGGTTGTATTCTTTGTGTAAACCCCTAGTGAGCCTGTGTTTCATCTCAGACTAAACTTATGTCCGAATAAGAGCTCCTTGTGCATCCAGGCTCCACTTCACAGACCCCCTTGTTCACATCTGTGGGAAACCCCTCGTTTCCGAGGCTCCAGAATTTGGCTCTAGGTGATGATTTTCCAGCTTGTTATTCCCAAACCCCATCACTTTTAGGACACACCCGGGTCCCTCACCCCTTTAGTGGATCCTTCCCTGCAGACATCCACGTCCCCGTGGAAGTAGAGGCCCTCACACAAAATGCACACGTGTGAACCCTGACAGATCGCCGTCATTTCCGTCTTCAGCAATGACCCTGATCTACCAAACTGTTTCACTTATTACTAAGCCTTTTAGGGAGCAGACAGCCTGCATCCGAGCCTCGGGCTCAGTGCTTCGCACCCCCGTGCGCCATATCCATAAACCCAGCCCTGTGCTGCCTGGGATGAGGTGAGATGCCAGCCCTCCACTGTATCATGAGAACCCAAATCCACCCAGCTCTCACACACACTCCTTTGAGTGATGTGTCCACACCCCGTCCGCTTCTCTTCCCTGGATGTAGGAAAAGAGGAAAGAGCCCATCAGGACCAAGACAACAGAGAGGAGAAGGGGGACCGAGGCTGGTGTAGTCACAACACTGAGAGAGACGGGGACAACCTGAACCATCTTCATCGATTCATTTCCCTCCTTCTCTCCCTCCAACCCACGTGGGGAGGCTGCCCAGAGAAGACAGTAGTGATTTGGTTCAAAGGACAAGGTAACGCCAGCCACGAAGAGGTTAGGAGAGTGAATTCCAGAAAGGGGGACTGTCCTGTTCAACGGCCTGGACAGAAGAAAGAATATACGTAGTTCAAGATGACAGGCACACAGAGAGCCTAGAGATGAACGCACGGGGCGGGGGTGGCGGGTGGCAGCGGGGAGAAAAGACTTGCTGTGCCCAGCTCAGAAGTGTTATTTTTTCCTGAAAACGAAGAAGAATCACTGAAGGATTTTAGGCTGGAAAACGATGTGGTCCTATTTTCGTTTCGGGAATGAGGTCTCTAGCAACGAACGTGAAGGACGGGTTACATCAGAGTGGTGGGGACAGAAAGGACAGCTAGGAAAGGAGAGCAGAGTCCGGGGAGGGGAGGGTAACCCACAGTGACGGCAGGGGCGGAGCGGTGGGACAGACCACAATGGCGCCCACCACACCTGGCCGGTGCTCAGAGTCATCGGGCACCTGTGAACTGCACCCTGATCAGACCACAGCGCGGAGAGCCCAGCGGCACAGGGCGAGACGGACAGGGCAGCGGGCGACAGACACCGCGAGGATGCTGGCAGGCAAAGAGGAGTCTGCGTCCTCAGGGGCTGGGAGTGGCTGGTCATGCCGTCCTCCAGCAGAAGGCCGCCAAAGGATGGGGAAAGGGTGCTTGACGCCTCGGGTGTGAGACACCCCTGGAGCCACCAGGAAGGCAGCAGCTGGACCCTTAATCCGGGGCCAAGAAGAGAACGTGGAATCGGAGGGGGTCCTGAGCAGGCGGGTGGGGGCCGAGGCTCAGACAGAGAGCAGGTCCCCCAGCGGGAACACAGTGTAGGCGGTGGGAGTGAGGGGAAAGGGGGGGGGGGGGGGGGAGGCC